CATTTACATTAAGAAATATCTCTCTGTAAACAAAGGTTGTTATTTACTACAATAGACTATCTTTCTTGGAGGTTTTAAACACAGCAGAATATTTTTGTGTGGCTCTGGAATATTTTAAATTAAAAGAAGATTAACTTTTAGTAAAACTGATTGTTGCCTTATATTGGGGAGCAAAATATACCAACAGTTTTCACTGGTAGCAATGTATCCTTCCCAGATTCTGAACAAGCAACCCATTTGGGTAGGGAGTGGCTAGGCCCCAAGAAGGAAAACAAACAGAGATTGTTGAGTTTATACCAAGGTTTCTCATCCTTGGTCCTATTAGCAAATAATAATGTGTCTTGGGGAGCAAAGTTGCCAATATTTGAGAACTACATTCACTAATGCCATTATTATCTCAGCTCCATACTTTGTTAATGTTTTCTCTGTACTATGTCAAGAGGCTAGTGCACTAACAGGTATAGGGAAAGAGTGGAAAGTTCCCACTTCCCAGTGCTTAACCAGGATGACTGTCTTCAAGTCAGCTTGTCTTCATGAGGTGAAAGTGGGGAGAAGACACAACACAAATTCCCAAAGCCAGCTGGCATCCATAATTTTGAGCTAATGAATCCATCTATTTGGATTTTGATGAATTGTACTGGGAATCTTGGCTAAATATCTTGTTTTAAATCTGAATTAATATTTGATATAATAAATTCTTTCTACAGAACTCAATGACACAGCAGTGGAGTAGTTATAAAGATTTTAAGGAGTAAACTAAAGAACAGAGGAGCACATAGCAGACTCACTGCCATTTGGCTTAGATTTTTAAAAACTGACCTTATTGTAATTTAAATATAGTACTCACAATAAACATAATGTGTATTTATATTATTGGTATTAGAGGGCATGATTCATGACAATTTGTAAGTTAACATGTAAGACTTTTCCTTTATGTAATGCCTGGTACACTTTTACTATACTTAATTTTGAGAAAGTACATAAGGCAACCTACAGTATATTCAAATAGTACAATAATACAGGTGTTCCCACATTTGTTTATTCTCTGGAGTGTCCCTGAACATTTTACTTCTTCTAATTTTTTTATTTCTTTCTATTTTAAAGTGTTCCTTTTCTATTTCTCTGCAATAAATGCTAGCTTATCTTTATACTAGTAAGGTAGACCTGCACCTCATTTCTTCCAGCAACAGCTCTTCTCTCTCTTGTCTATCCCAAGATCATACACTATCTGTAATGAATACGAATCTTTTTCATAAAATTAACCAAAGAACAAAATATCTTTATTCTTGGAGAGTTGCCTTAAAAACCTTCTATAGGAAATTCTCTTTAGTTAATTAGAGGAAGGTACAAATGAATGAAAAATGTGTTTGTTGATTCTGCTTCCACCATCACATATACAGAAGTACCCTTTTGCATCAAATGCAGGTGCACACACATCTTCCTGAGCCGTTTCAGTCAATAAATAAAAACTGACAACTGCTGGAAGTGCATTTTCTTCTTGTTTACTTAAATATGATGTTTCAATACACATGTGTTAATAGTCTATATATTAGTCTGTATAATCTCTTAAAATCTATATCTTTGACATTTCAAATATATAATTTAGTTAAGTTCAAGCCAGAAAGAATTGTGTTGGTAATAACCTCTTATTAAAGTTAGTAATTGATGGAGAAGATAAGGCTGATTAAAAGGTATCATGTAAAGTAAAGGAAAATAATCTGAAATAGTGTAAACAAATATATCCGATAGCAATTTAGATGTAAGGATACAATAGTTAAATTTATCTCCTTGGGTTAACTTACTTAAAGCACGAGAAAATGGTAGTAAAGGAAAATGTACACATGTGTAAGATTTTGCAACACATACATATTAAAAAGCATCTTCCGACTAGAGGAATTCACTCTGTTCCTACAAACTATTTTCTTTTATTCAACTTCTTCGTGTACATTTTGAAAAGTCATTTCTGGATCTTATCATTCTTCCCTGGAGATCTTTCCTTTGGCAATTTCAAGAGAGCAGAAAAAAATCCTGAACACATGCTCCCTACCTTTTCCAAATATGAGTTATCTACCTCTGTCTATTGTTAACCTCTTAGGCAGGGATCATAGACCTAACTTTAAATGAAAGCTTTAATTTTGTAAGAAAAGCCTTATCTTTTAGCATACTCATCTAGAAATGCTCAAGCTGTGAACCTAAAAGAATCTTATTTTATTACTCTATAAGCATCTGAAAGTAACTCAAATAATATCTATCCTAAGTGTAAGGGGATGTCATGTCTGTACTTTATTGTGTTTAATCTTTAAAGTTGCTTAAATGCTTACTCTACTTAAAATAAGAAATGACAACTTATATAGAAAAATATAAACATAAATTATAGTCCTCTACTAAATTTGCTCTGTTGATATGCTTCTCTCTATGTATATGTGGGATTCTTATCATTTAGTTTATAAATTCAAGACAATGAGTAATTTTCAAGATATTTTATTATATATTATACATATTATATAAATATATAGTAGAGCCTAAATGAAGACTCTGGATAATGTTATTATTTTGATATAATACTTGATAGAGAGAATATGGTGGGATGTCCAGAGGTGATTACTACTTTTCTATTTGGTTTCTTTGTGTTCAAATAGGATATTTGATAACTCAACCTTAAGAGAAGGTAAGAAAACTGGAGGATTAGAGAAACAATGAAGAGAGAAGTGGTTTTCTTCCTATCTTAAGTTTCCAGGCTACTTAAGAAAAGGTTTTGATAAACACATTGAAAAATAAATGAAGAAAAGTATAAGTAAGACTAAATCTGGAAATTAATTGTAAATGTGATTCATATATGCCACTCAGTCTCTATTTTATGAAATTTGAAAAAAGAAAACACCTATATTTTTCTAGTTATATAAGCTTCTTTTCGCAAATGTAAAATGTCACTGTATCCTCAGAGGGGAAGAAAACAGATCAGAAAGACACTTTTAAGCCAAATCTTACGTCACAGTTTACTATTTCAAACTTATTGTGGTATTATTCATTTTATCTGTTTCTAGATAAGATAAACGCCAGTTTTAAAAGCTGACATTTTCAATGTTAATGCTTAAGTCAAGTGCTACCAAAATATACTCTATTAAAAGATCACATTCTCGAGTAAAATAAATAAAATGTAATTAGAATCATGATTTAATTTTGCTATTGGAAAACCTCTCTTAATTTATATTTTAAAAGGAGTATATACTGAATACCAATTAATAATGTACAATCTTTGTGAAAAGAATGATATGAGCAAAGACCACCTGTAAGTTATTAAATTTTAAAGAAATTTAATAAACATAAGTAAATGTACGGCAATGGGAACATACCAAGTGGAGTGATGAAATATTTGACTTCCAAATCCAACTTTTAAAATCTAAGATGTTTTAAATTAATTGGTAACAAATGCCAGAAAAGCCTTTTTCACTAGCTAGCTTTCATTCCTTAAACTAAATTTTAATCAAAACCTCTTACAAATTTATAAAAGTTTGAAGTTCTCTTTGAAATAACCCACGTCTTCAAGAATTTTATCACATTAACTACTTGATTAGAATCGCAGAAACAGGTTTTATAGCTTTTGATGATGGCCAATTCTTTTGGCATAATGGAGCTTTCTTTGCAAAGTACAGGTGACTCAAATTCTCTTTTGTATAAGCAGTGTTCAAGTTTGCAGTGTCTTCTTCTGTGTTTCTTTCAAACTAGTTTACACATCTGTAATCTCCCTTACTCTATGATGTTGTGATTATCTGTTTAAACATCTCAACCTTTCACTGGACTCAGGTGTACCTTCGCAATAGTGAGATAGTGCCCCATTCAGTTGTGAATCCTTAGGCCCTAGTACTGTGCATGGCCATAAAGTAAGAATATAACAAAGCTATGTTGAATGAATATATGAATGAAATAAGCTGGTAAATGAATGAAATTACCTAAGAAAGTTCAGCTTTGGAGAAATAAGCTAAGAAAAGTCAACTACAGAGGCAATCAAACTCCTTTGGGATTAATTGAGAAGATCATTTATAGACTCACCAGATAACTACCAATAGTTATATAAAACTGTACAACATATTTGTATGAAGTGGTGTTAAAGACATTAGTGAGAAAGAAAAATTATATTTTAAAGGTCAACAACTGAGGGTCTTCTAGCTGGAAGTTTATTCACCCCAAAGCATCATATTAAATGGTATCTTTCTCCTTGCCGATTTCACAGCAAACTCTAATTGTTAATATTGATCGAATAGGTTCTGTAATCTAGTCTATAAAGTTAGTGCAATATGAAAAGAAATCTGGAGGCAAATGTCATTAATGATTTTGCTATATTATAAAATGTGGCCTTGGTCATTTAATTCAAAATAAAGTCAGTATTAAATATACTGGCCAGGTATGGTGGCTTACGCTTATAACCCAGCATTTTGGGAGACGGAGGTGGGATGATTGCTTTAGCTTGGAAGTTTGAGGTTGCAGTGAACTATGATGGCATGACTGACTACAGCCTGGATGACAGAGTGATAATCTGTCTTTAAAAATATGAATGTTTAGCTATGAAAGCTTACCACCAAATTTCACTACTTTGGTTTGCAGGCAATAAGGGAAAGGAATGTTTGATGGCAGTGTCTCTTTGTCTTGTTCTTGTATCCAATATCATTAGACTTTGTATTTGTGAGACTTCCCAAAAGTTTTCTAAGTACTAGGAAGGTGGATTATATTAAAGATAATGCCCCAAATACTTACAATACAGCCTAGTTCATCATAATTCAATTAGCACACTTCTATAGTAGTTTAAAGTTCTGACATCAGGCTCTATATTTTGGAATTACCACATCTATATTCTGTAATTTACATGCGATGTATTTTTGTTTGGTACACATTTGAGGATATTAGGCATGAAAGATAATGCCAAACATTTCGTAAGAAATAAAATGAAAAATGCAAGAACTTATGAGGATTCAAACCAACATATTTTGTTATTATGATTGTACCTCGTTCTCCCTTCTGACACTTCTTCCTTTGCACTGTACACTTTCTTGTCTCATTTGTGGGGGGACACAGGTTACCCTTTGCTGAAGGATGCTGTATTATTTCTCGGACCCGTGTTTCAGTCCCTCTCTTAAAGCCACATGTTTTTCCCTTCTTCGTGCATGGACTCCAAGGATTCCATTCACTGACCTCACAGTGCACTGAAACAAAACAGAAGAAACAGCCTCAGATGGCTCACAATCACTTTCATTATTGTTGAGTTAAAGAAAAATTTGCTTCCATCAGAATTTGCCCAAATTTGAGCAGAAATTGCAGACCAAAGTTGGGCAAGGTGACTTACATATAAAACAAGAGAAAGGGAAAGGCAAAAATGGATATTTAAATGTTTTCAGTTTAGTACTCATTATAAGGTAAACCAATTTTTGCATTGGATTTCCTTTTTCTCTAGATTGATTAATCCAGGCACTCATATTAATGTAATCACTAAAATCCATCAATTCTTCATAATTTCCAGAGCACTGCCGCAATTGTTGATTGATCCTCACCAGAATTTGAAAAACAGTTGTTATACTGAGTGCTAGAGAATTGATTCTCAAACTTTAGCATGTGTCCAAGCAGAATCACTTGGAGGGCTTGCTAAAAAAATGCTGGACTTTCCCCCACCCCATCCCTCACCAGAGTTTCTGATTCAGTTGTCTGGGGTAGGGCTGTGAATTTGCCTAACAATACAGGTAATGCTGATTTGCAGGTACTGGGAACGCCCTTTGAGAACCTCCGTGTTGGAGAATCCTTGAGCAGAAAATGAATCCAGGTATTTGGCCTACAATTTACCGCCTTTTCTACTTCATGTGCTGTTGAATGTTTAAATATTGATATCTGTTACTGAGTATGGTTCAGGCACAGCAGCATATTTATATGTGAATTCTGGGTCAATTTCAGCTAATAACCTGCTTCTAAAATAAACCTGACCAAGTGATTCCTAAGATGACCTGATGTACTTTTTCTGAAGCTTCTTTTGGAGATTTGTTTCCTTTTTCTGTACTAGTTTCTTTTTTTTCAATAATGGGTTCCTCAGGTTATTAACAGATTTTTGCACTTTTAAAGAAAAGAAGCATCTATAAGGTGCTATTATATATATGTCCCAAAACTTTCTAATATATAACAACGACTAGCAACAGTAACACTTTCAGATGACTTAAAACTGTCTTTCCACAAAAACAAACTTTCAGTAATCTCCCTTAATGTCTTCTGATTTAATGATTCCTTACTTGAGAGCAGAATATGATCTCTCATAACAATCTCAAGAAAGATAACCTAAATGTTTTAGAAATTTAAATCCACTTATACATTTTTCACAGGCCTTTTCAGACACTTTTAGGTCCTGAAGTACAACATGGAATTAAATGGAATTGATTCAATACATGGCTTTAGGTTTCTGTGAAATAAAATGAACTTGATTGAACCACTTTAAAATAGTCTTCATGCTCAGTTATACCATTACAATTTTTGTTCAACAGTAGAGTAACTAATTCAATTGGTAATAATAATAATAATAATAATATTATTTTTTTTTTTGAGGCGGAGTTTCGCTCTTGTTACCCAGGCTGGAGTGCAATGGCGCGATCTCGGCTCACTGCAACCTCCGCCTCCTGGGTTCAAGCAATTCTCCTGCCTCAACCTCCCGAGTAGCTGGGACTACAGACGTGCGCCACCACGCCCAGCTAATTTTTTGTATTTTTAGTAGAGACGGGGTATCACCGTGTTGACCAGGATGGTCTCGATCTCTTGACCTCGTGATCCACCCGCCTCGGCCTCCCAAAGTGCTGGGATTACAGGTGTGAGCCACTGCGCCCGGCTCAATTGGTAATATTATAATATCTTGCTGGTTATGAATATTATCTTCCAGCATCCCATTCTGATATTAATCATTACAAAGTAGTGGATCCTTAGCATTACAAATAAAAGCACCTCCAAAAAAGCAAATGAAAAGAGGAAAATCAATGTTTTTGTGCTGTCACTTTGTCCAGTATTCATTTAATTCCAGAATTAAGAGGACTAAATTAGAAAAAGTTATCTGATGTGCAAGTAATGAAAACTTTGGTGCTCTTTCATAATAGCAAAAGTGGTCTAGGCAAATGCATACTCGATCTTCAAAAAATGGATTTTAAAAATTACAGCTTCAGTAATTATTAGTTTATAGTCAGAAGATGAATGGTTTTAAAAATTAAATTCTAAGGACAAGCTTAGATAATTTCATTGGAGGAGGGAAAATATTCAAAGCCAATGAGTTTAGGTACTTAAAGGCTGTAATGAGACCAGATAGCCAAAACACTATGAGACGAGGTGAATTTATCTTAGAGAAATATTGTAGACTAAACTTGTAATATTAGCATCCAAATAATATTTCCAGAAAAAAAACGAAAACTGGCTGGGCGTGGTGGCTCATGCCTGTAATCCCAGTGCTTTGGGAGGCTGAGGTGGGTGGATCACGAGGTCAGGAGTTCGAGACCAGCCTGGCCAACAAAGTGAAACTCCATCTCTATTTTTTTTTAAATAAAAAAAAAATAAAGCGAAAACTGAAAAAAAGTGCTAAAGACAACATAAAAGGTGATTTAAGTATCATTCGGATAATTTAATGAACAATATAGAATTCAGGCACTCCCTGGTGAAGAGGTAATTAAGAAAAAACAGACTATTCACCTTCTGTGTTCCTTCTAGCTTCTTTATTAAGAACAATATTAACACTGGAAATCTTTATTCACTAATGAAGCTAATGAAGCGCATGTCTCATAAAAGGTAATGAGCTCCGGTCCCTGGGAATCATTGTGCTGTGGTTTATTATCAGTGTGAAATGCTGTAAAAGGGATTCCCGAATTGGAAAGAAAGTTGAATAGGATGTCCTACCAGTAATGACTTTACTGGTCATTTGCTCTAATTCTTGTTGACTAGTTGCATGATTACATAGAGAACATAGCAAGGGTATGTCAGTGCTTGGAGTGAGATATGCTCTCTCTGTGATTACTTGAACAAGTCCAACTCTCTAAGAGAAGCAATGGGGGTGACAAAATGACAGTGCAGAAAGGAAGCAAATATCTGGAGCACAAAGTGAAAAGAATGTGTTCTTTTATAAAATTTGGTTCAGTGGATGTTTCTCTTTCATTTGACCTGCAAACCATGGAGAGTGGACATGTTGTGACATACCTCTTTCATTCCAGCTCTATATCAGGTTAGCATTTCCTCTGTTTGTGACCTTTCCTCTCAATTTAAAATCTAGATAGAAAACTAGAATTACGGTGTAGAGCTTAGCAATGAGAAAGATGCATTCTTTCTGTTGGGTGAGCAGTAGGAAGCTATAGTCAAGCTACTAATTACTGCACTGAAAATAACTAATGTTTCTTTGGGATCATCATTTTGCCTCTCCGGATCCTAGTTTTCATATTTGTTAAAGGAATAGGCTGTAATATTCCTTTGTGATGTGGAAGCAGGTCATCCTGGGCTAGCCTAAAGGCATGCCAGGTGTAGTACCTGTAGGCTAGGCGCCATATGATACCAGATATCTCTTATCGAGCAAACAACAGGAGCCAGCCTTGAACCGAAGTTGTTGATTTGTGTTACTACAGTGTCCTAGGTCATTTGCACCTGTTAAATGAGCCAAATTCAGTAACTGGCTTTTGGACTGCTAACCTCTCCTCCAAAATGTATAAATTTAAATGTAATTGTGTTAAGAAATAAGCAGTCTTAGTCTTACTAGTAGTATAAATTACCAGTAAGCTTTAAAGGCAAATCCAGTAGTGCCAAGTGTGAAATGATTTCCCTGATAGAAAAGCATTAATAAATTTAAGGTAAATGGCCTTTCCAGGACTGAATGCTACAGCTTCAGCAACTGAAAAAAAATTAAATATGTGTCTTTTTTTTCTGGGTAGAGAAATGTCACAAACATCCTGCAACTCGTCCTGAATTTCTGCTCTTGAATATTGCACAGACGTGTTTTCTATTTTTTCCTACTGTTTGGAACTTATTACCACTAATCATCAGCCCTCAGGACCAATAAGAAAAAGAACGTGAAGTGCTCTCTTTTGTACTTTTTACCCTATTCCTAATTGCTGCTTTTTTCCTGTGTTTCTACAACTAGAGAAGAAGAAACTTAACCATTGTGAGCCACAAACTATTTCAAGACCATTGTTTTCCAGATGCTTCTAAAATTATCTTTAAAATATCTATTTATTTTATTGTATCAAAAACATTGTGTAGAGAGTGCTGTGGTGGACCTGAAATGGTTAAACCACGACTTTAGATTTATTACTCCAGCACTTTAGATTCTAAGGGATCCCTAAGATGGGCACCCCAGAGGAGTCCCGGAGACTATCTTCTACTGAATCAGGACAGCAGTTGTGTGGCTATGCCTTCGGCGCAGCATCAAAGGTTCTTGTAGTTCTTGCCCAGGGGATTTTGAGATTTCCTAGGCTATTTTCCCATTTGGTTTAGCATCTGCTTCCCAAGTGTTCATCAAAGTTGTAGCTGTAGTAGCTGTACAACGTTTAAAAGAGGGAAAATACATCCTGACAGTGATCTGTTATTTAGACAAACAACTTGTCTGAGGGACCTCCCTCCCCTTCAGGAAATTTGGCCTGCAATTAATCAGACCCAGGGACTGTCTCATTCTGTCAGTTTGAGTAAGTCCACTATCCTCTTTCTTATGTATCAATACCTGTACAAGCAGAACATTTCAGCATAGCAGTGTGAGAGAAAAAAAGTGAGATTTTAACTAAATCAATTCCAGTTCTCTGGGTCTTTGATCCATTTACTGAGCATTAATGGGCTGTGTCAAGAGAATGTATGTCCCCCCCTTAGAAAAGAACTTTGGTCATTAGTTGAGATTAGACCAGGTGTTTTATGAAACTGTTGCTCTAAGGTAAAAATCCAATTCAAGACACAAATGTATGTCACATAACAGATCACTGTCAAGACATATATATATATATATACACACACACACACACACACACACACACACACATATATGTCTTGATATATATATATATATATATATATACACATATATATATGTCTTGACTGAATTTTTACTTAAGCAAAAATTCATCAAATAATAATAAAAAATGAATCTATCATGAACAGACAGTTGAAACAATTATCGACAGTCCCTAAGAAATAAGGAAGCACCTACTGTATTAAACTGTACTGTAACACATGCTAGACAAGGTTATGAAAAAGACCTTTAAGAGAGTATCTTCGTAAAGAAGGATGGATACAACCTTTAAGAGATCTCAGCCCAAGAAGCTTCAGGTTCTTTTGACAAAGGACTTTGAAAAACACCTCCATGGAGACTGGTATTATTATTTATTCCAATTATTAGAGGTTCTCCTTACCAATATTGACACACTCCATGGTATGGTTGCTGGCTTCCAACCCTTCTGGGCAATTGTCAAGGCACTTTCCAAGGTGTAAGTAAAATCCGCTTTTACATTTTGTGCAGAAGTTTTTGTTGAAACAGGTATCACAGTCAGCTTTGCATTCTGAAAGAGAAAAGAGAAAGAGAAATATGCTTGCATTATGTCCTCTTAACTATTGGTCTAGTTCTGCCTGTGTTCAGCACAGGCACATGCAACTTTAGTGTCAAATAAACACCTGAGGTCCAAAATTATTTTGCCAGACTGAATACAGGATTCCTCCACAGTAATTTAGTTGATGTACATCGGTTATTGATTTTTAAAAACATTGTACTGATTGCCCTATGAAAACAAATTTGGCGTATATATACATAGCCAAGAATATTTATAAGATCGAGTATCTGTTCATATTAAGTGATAGTGAAAATGTTCCATCAGAACCTTAAGAAAATATATGAAGGACATTGCCTTTGTGTAGTTCTTGAGAGCTACTCATTCTTTTTTTTTTTTTTTTCTTTGAGACAGAGTCTTACTCTGTCTCCCAGGCTGAAGTGCAGCGGCACTATCTCGGCTCACTGCAACCTCCACCTCCTGGGTTCAAGCGATTCTCCTGCCTCAGTCTTCCTAGTAGTTGGGATTTCACAGGCACCCGCTACAGTGCCAGGATAGGTTTTATATTTTTAGTAGAGATGGATTTTATCATGTTGGCCAGGCTGGACTTGAACTCCTGACCTCAAGTGATCCACTTGCCTTGGCCTCCAAAAGTGCTGGATTACAGGCTTGAGCCTCTGCACCCAGCTGGCTATTCATTCTTACCACAAATATTTGATTGCCTACTATGTGCTAGGCATTGTTCTTTATGTAGGTTAACAGCAATGTACAAGAGGAGTAAGAGTCAGGCTTCAGAAAGTTTACATCCTAGGAGAGGATATACAGTAAGCAATAACAACAGTTGACCCTTATAAGGTAATTACTGTAAGCCAGGACTGCTATAATGTTTTATAATAGTATTAAGTCATTTAAGGTTTACAGCAACCCAATGAGATAGTCATTGGTCATTGGTATAATTTCATTTTACACATGAGGAAACTGAGGCTCACAAAGTTATGAAACTAACCCAGGACAACAGATCAGACTGCTTTTTGAAACCAGGCAGTCTAGTTCCAGAGTGATAAGTGGTCTGGGGAAAAAAAAACACAGTGAAAGGTGGGAAAAAGAGACGGAGAATGGTTGACAATGGGAACAGTCTGATTATTTTGGATAAGATGGTCATGGAACGTCTCTCTGAGATGATGACATATGAGCAAAATTGGCAGTGAAATAGCCAGCCATGCAAAGATGTGGGCAAAAAGCTTTCCAACTGCTAGAACAGCCAGTGTAGAACAAGAACCGCAAAGGCTTGAGGTGGGAAGATCTTATGAGAAGGCAACTGAGGCTGACACAAAATGGTTGAGGAGGAGTTGTAGGAGATGAGTTTGGAGAGATTGACAGAATTACACATGATATTTGAATAGAGTGGTATTTCCTAATTTACAGTTTTGAGAAAGGTCCCTTGATCTGCAGTGTGGAAAGCAGACTTTCAGGGTCCAGATGACAGTGCTCCCAATATTTATTTCTAACTGATAAATAAATGTTTCAGTTGCTCTGGAATCACTCTTGAAGTCAAAACAGCTGAAATGATTCAGGAAGTTAGTCAATACTTGGATTTTATGTTGATATTGGGAACTCAGATGGAATTGAAGCTTGCAATACTTTTCTATAGGTTCAATGAGCAATAATCATATTCCCAGCCTTTGGTTTCATAATTAAAAAGAAAACCAAAACATGAGTGTTTTTTGTAAGTTAGTGACAAAAATTTTCTGGTTCTGAGAGCTAAGTCTAAGTATGGTTTAGCCTAATTAAGAGATACATGTCATTTACTTAACATTGAATGTCACAAATATATTAGAGATCATTTAAACTGGAAAAGTCACCAAGGATGAGATAAAAATACAATTTCATGTAGGCGCTTACTTGTACACTTATTTATATCTGGATATCGAGTTCCATAATATCCACTTGGACACGAAGAGAGACACACTCCAATCTGCTTCATGCCAATTCTTTCCAGAACAAAAAATAGTCTGGGCTTACATGACAAACATCCATTGTAATCTGAACACGTTGCACAGCCTCCTTGGCAGCCTTGACTGACGTTCGGATGCGCTGCAGAGACAAATGTAGAAAGACATTACAAAGGTTAAATTACAGATACAAAGTTAAATGACATTTTCTGGGCAGGATATACATTTTCTTTCATTAGCTTTCAATTTGTTGGTAATGGGTAAATGAGGTGGGATTTTTTTTTCCTATCTTTTTTTTTGGTGATCTTTTATTTCCCTTTAGCACATGCATTGTTTTTAATTTCAAAGTTCTTAAAATTGAGCATTTGAAAAATAAGAATATACTGCCTCAAAGGACTTACATATTCTCTTTATATATAATATACATAGTATAATTATGTATAACTAATTACATATGTATATTCTCTTTATAGATATAATATCCTCACTGGACTGGGAGAATGGGAGAATGGGCACTGGTAATTTTGTGCTCATTTACACAATGAAATTAATACACATTTGTGTTGCTTTTCATTTATGTAACGGAGGATAAGCATATGTTTCTAATTTCTTCAGTAAGTAATGTACACTAGGGCTTAACTTGAGTAAGGACACTAGGTTTTATAATATCTGTTTTGAACTATGGTGTACTAAACAACACAATTTTACTTTTTGATCCAATGCAAACTGGTGCTGAAACTATGCTAGCTGTTGGGCACTCCTCAATGCCTTCATGAAATATTTCTTCTCACATGAGCTTAGTGACTGCCAGTTAAAACAGATATAATGGTGAAAATGTGATACTTATCAGTGTTTCCATATGATTATATGTGACCGTTATGGTAATTTATGTTTAATATTTTCTCTTTTGGGACTGGAGTCTTACAGTTTCTGTGCCCTTATCTTCTACTTACTCAAGTGAAATGCATATTTGGTGAGGATGGACCAGTCTACCTTAAGAATCACTGGCATACATATTCCAGGGTTTCCAAGAGTTACCAATGTGTGAGGTAAGAGTGTTCATTGGCAAGTCTGAACAAACAGAAACAAATATTTGGGAGATTCACCTTTATCTAAGATCATCACAACTTTAAATCTTCTTTTGACTATTAACTAGTCAACATCACCTCTGTATGAGCTGGTAAAAATTGCTGACTAAGGATCTCTGTATGAGCTGGTAAAAATTGCTGACTAAGAGGTGTTTCTCATACAGCTGGTGTTTAGGATGATTTCTTTTCCTAATGTCCCCTCTACTCAAATATATTGAAAATAGCTTTATTGTCCTTTGATGATGCCAGAGGAAAAAAAATCATAATCCTTTGAGAAAGAAAGATTGATACACAGGAATCTAAAGGCATCTCAGTGTATTTCTGACTTCTTTTGCTGGTACTAAAAGGGGTAGGCTCTGGTGGGCCTTAGCATTATTAAATCTGCCTTTACAGTGATGTTTGGTTATTACTAAGTTCTTTACCACAAAAACAAATCCCTCCAGGCTTAGTTAGAAGAGGTACCCATAATACCAAACAGCCTTACCACAGGGGTGCACGGGTTAGCTACAGAGAGGTCATTCAGTTGACCAGCATCCTCTGCCTGTAGGAAACCATCCCCGAATCAGCCACAGGAACCACAAACAGCTCATTCTCATTCCAAGACGTTTTGTAAATAAACTAAGGAAATGTGTGGGGGAAGGGAAGTCTGCTTTTCCTGTACATGCTCCTCTGTGGGGGTGGGGCAGTCACATAAAGTGGCACAGGAGGTTTAGACATTACAGGGCCTGGGGGACTTGTAAGTGAAACTACTTTCCAAGTAACAGGGTCATTTTTCATGCCAGTAACTCAGCATTGGTGACTTACAGAAAATGCATACATATTGTAAGCTTGCAAAGACCCTAAAAGGGAAAAGGGGCAAGAGATTTCCATGTGTTCAGAATCTAGCATTATCCATTACAAGAAGCAAGAGGTGTAGATAAAAACTTGTAAGACCTTTTCATAGAATTGTCTATGGAAGAGTGGACCTCAACTTGAAAGAAAAGTGCTTCAAGTTAAGGGCACTAAGAGCCTCTGGGTTTAAGAAAGATGGATCATATTGGTCCATGCCAATCCATCCCTATTTCTGAAATGTGGCACTGAAAGAAAACACGCAATTCTAATTTTATGAGTTCTGAAACTTTTGCCAATTATGACATAATTTTAAATATATCAATTATTAATATAAACATGATTTACCTAGTCAGAACTTCAAAAAATGACATTCCTTTTTTTTTTTTTTTTTTGAGACGGAGCTTCACTCATGTTACCCAGGCTGGAGTGCAATGGCGCGATCTCGGCTCACCGCAACCTCCGCCTCCTGGGTTCAGGCAATTCTCCTGCCTCAGCCTCCTGAGTAGCTGGGATTACAGGCACGCACCACCATGCCCAGCTAATTTTTTTTATTTTTGGTAGAGACGGGGTTTCACCATGTTGACCAGGATGGTCTCGATCTCTTGACCTCGTGATCCACACACCTCGGCCTCCCAAAGTGCTGGGATTACAGGCTTGAGCCACCGCGCCCGGCCATGACATTCCTTAAGATAAATTCTATTTAAAAAATTAGGTTTTGAATGTTTGGAATGTTCTCCAAGAGAGAGCTCTGAATACGTCTCATGATTGTGACAGTATCCACTGAAATTATGAGATGTGCCAAAATACCTTGCTTGATTCCCCATCTCTAAAACTTTTACAGATGAAATGCAGCACAGTCAACGTTGTCTTACAATAATTCTTTTTGCTTTTTTATAAAAACATATTTTGACTTCCTAAGCAAAGGTTTTTTTAAAATTTGATTTTTGAAAAAGCAAGAAAGACCTAGCTGTCCCAACTTGCAAGAAAACTTTATGTTTGTTTTAATCAGTGAATTTTGAATACGGGCAATGAATTTTGAATATCAAATGATGGCAAACTTTATTTCTTCAGGAAGGTTTAAATGCTGGCTCTGGGAAGTGAGAGAAATGGCAACTATGAAGCTCAGATTCAATGAGTCTAGATTTTTTTTATGGTTATGTAGTGTAGTGACAACTTTCTTGAATGCCATATAAGGATCACACAAATTACACAGTCAGTATTACACAACTAGATACAAATTTCCCAAACTTCATTTTAAGGCAAGAGCTTTTACTTTTTATATGGAAACCACAAAAAACTTTGGTCTAGATTGACTGTAACAACACTTTCAGCCATAAAAACTTGTGATTCTGAAACAGAAAATAGAATTTTACTTTCTCCTGTGTCATTCTTTTTTTCCCCATTCAATATTAACTTCATTTTGCATTTCTAAATCACCTTTTTCAAACACTATTTTCCTACTGTTATTTGAAGTTGTTGGTGGAGAGGTAGGGAAAGTTTCACAGAATCTCGGTGTTTGAACTGAATCTTAGAAAATGAGTTGGAGTTTATCAGTCGTAAGTGGTCATGTGTGGCTATAGAAGGAAACACTACAATGACCCCAGCTGGGAAGGAGGCTGGCATGAGTTTGATGCAACTGGAGCGTAAGTAGTGTAAAATGAAGAGATGAGGAATATCAAGAAGATTGGAAGCATAAAAAGGACCTAGATTACAGAAACTTTTGGGGGGTAGGCCAATGAGATTCTTCTGTAAACATGGCCGGGGGTGGGGCGGTGGGTTTTAATCACACCGGTGACTGATATGATCAGATTTGAATTGGGAAGGAAATTTCCCTGGCAATGTGGCAGGCATGGAAACTGGGAGAAGAATAATGTAGTGGTCAAGATAGGAGGCTGATCATAACTTAAAATATGGCAGAGGCAATATAATGTAGTTCCAAGGATATTTAGGAGGTGGTATCAACCAAATATATTGGCCAAGGAAATGCAGGCTGAGCAATAAAGAGGATTTGAAAAGGTGTGTTTCTAGGTCCAGCTAGTGAATAGAGAGGGGAGGAAGTACCAGAGGAGTACCTGCAGTTGGAGAGTAGGAAATGGTGCATGGAATACAGACGTTTAAAGACACAAACCTGGCTTGGAATCACTAATTTTGCAGATTTTATGAAATATCCAGAGAGTGATGCTTACTAGATGGAGCTTACTTTGGAGTGGCTGTTGGAGATGTATATGAGTCTCCAGTGGTGGCTACTTAATTAGAAAAGGCATCTTGAAAGGAGCTACTGGGCCTGGCATGGTGGCTCCTGCCTATAATCCCAGCACTTTGGGAGGCCGAGGCGGGCAGATCACATGAGGTCAGGAGTTTGAGACCAGCCTGGCTAACACAGCGAAATCCCGTCTCTACTGGAAATACAAAAATTAGCTCAGTGTGGTGGTGCATGTCTGTAATCTCAGCTACTATAATTGCTTGAGCATGGGAGTTGGAGGTTGCAGTGAGCACAGATTGCACCATTGCAATCTAGCCTGGTGACAGAGTGAGACCCTGTCTCAAAAAAAAAAAAAAAAAAAAAAAAAAGAAAGAAAGAAAGGGGAAGCTACAGAAAAATTAGGAGACAATTTTTTAGACAACTTTAGAAAGAGGAGACATTGTTCAAAATAGGGGACATTTGTTAAGAGAACGAAATGTATTATTAGCAGCTTTAAACAATACCTTGAGATTCCAGGCCACTGTTGCTTACAAAGCATGCTCCAAAGCTAAATTAGCTGTGGCAATTAATTGCCTTATGGTATAAGTCAGTAGAAGCTATCATAATCATTTATTTTGAAACTTCAAACTTGGACTCAAAGGAATGCTGTAACCTTCTGAAAAATAATCAGTTTAGATCAAAGGTTAAGATCTAGATCTTTTTATCTGGTAACTATCTCTTTATATATAAGTAAACTTCAGATGTGTAATGTGTAATGTGTAACATATGAGTAAGAAAATGGGCAGAATTCGTGGAAACTTTAAATTGGGACCTTCTACTAAAGATGTGTCACATACACAGTGAAATTAATATGTCTATCCTTAAAATTAAGAAAGAAGGAAGTGTTATTTCTTAACTTGTTTATGAAGGTTAGGTGTAAAAAAGGGTGTAAATTGACGCATAACTTAAACCTACTTTCAGTGTCTGAACTGTGAACACTCCCTGAGTAAGAAACTTCAATTTCACTATCTATTAGATGAA